CCAGAGGGACACAGACTCTGTATGCTCGATATTGATGGAAACTGAAATGTGATCACTGAGAACTTTGGGGGACACATGTCCACTGAGGGGAGAATGGGGTTCTCGTCCTGGGGGAGCATTCGGCAGCGCGAGGTTGAAAGTCCTCGGCATGAAATCAGGGCGTAGCTGTGCCGCTGTTGCTGCTGAGCCAGGTCTGATCTGACCTGTGCGTCCTTGAAAATGTGATTTCACACAAAATCTTCTTCTTCTTCTGACTTCATGTTTTCCCCCATCCAACACTTAAAGACGGTTCTTACCGCCCAAGCCCCGGACAGGTGCTGGCTGGGTTTGGCTGTCGGCTGCTAACCCACCTCAGCTCCCGAGGTCCCTTGAAGGTGAGCCCTGGGGTGGCCCAGAGCTCCTCACGGTTACTGCTCCGACGCGGACAGTGCTGCCCGACCGGCGGGAGGACAGGCATCTACATACATTTCGTCACAGTTTTTACTACACAGAGGTGGCCAAGAGTGGGTTTGCAGCTGTTCATATGTACAGTACAATAAATAATAATACAAGAGCCCGACCGGTGTGACTTGGTGGTTGAGCATTGACCCTGCACCAAGAGGTCACCGATTTGATTCCCGATCAGGGCACATGCCCAGGTTGTGGGCCCGATCCCCAGTGGGGGGCATGCAGGAGGCGGCCAATCCATGTTCTGTCTCATCTATGTTTCTAGCTCTTCTTCCTTCCTCTCTCTAACATCAATAAAGAAAGAAAAATTTTTTAAAAATAATAATACAAGCATAAACTCTGTTTTGCGTACTCACAGCTGTAAACCTACTTTTGCCCACCCTGTATATGTACATGTGAATATTATTTTGTTACTTTTGTTGTAGAGGTGGTGTTTTTGACTGAATGCTGTGGATTATTCCATAAATTGCGTTGTATATTTTTAAAGTATCAGAGTCTCACTTCACACCCTAGACCAGTGTGACGTGGAAGTGGGTCAACTCTCTCATGTAAAATACAAGCTCTGAAAGAAAATATAGCTGTGCTTATTTCCAGTTAAGGCCTTTAGTCACAGTAACAGAGAGAAAGGTGACAGTGAGGTGAGCCCAGAGAGATGCTGCCAGATTGTAGCGCTGTAATTAGGAGTCTACACAAGTTGCAACGGTGTAATTAAGAGTCCACACAAGTTGTAATGATGTAATTAAGAGTCTAGCGAAGGTGCCACCAGGAAAACTGGCAGAGAACATGAACAGAAAAACGCACAACAGGAAAAGTAGACAAACAGAAGCACAACGTGCTGGTTTCGGGGTGAACTCAGACAGATCTGCCGTCCTGTCCTGGCCACGGATAGCACCTGTCCAGCCACAGAGGACGTTTTTCTGATTATACTCAGTGGCTCTGAACTTCTACAAGGCTGTTTAGTAATGTAACGAAAACCTAAAAAGTGATTCTGTCTCAAGATATTCACCATCCAACAGCCGCACCGGTGGCAGCTGGACAGGGGAGCTGTCCTCTCGCTGAGCAGACGGAATTGCTGGCTGTTTGTAGGAGGGACGCTTTTTCCTTCGATGTAGGTCAGCTTATACTTTCCTCTTTATGTTCACGACGTGCTTATGCCATAGTGTCTGGTCACTTAAAAATATAGAAAACACTTTTTCATACTTGGGCCTTTTGCACTATGAATTTGACAAGTCATTCCCCAATAACTTCTCATTCACGGTTTGACTTTAAATCATCGATTAATTTGGAGTTTATCCTTATGTAACATGCAGTTGTGGGCGAATGTTTATTGCTGTGTTTTTTCCACCACAAAGACCACTATTTATTGTGCAATAGAGCTTTTGACCTTGGTTTGAGGTCTAACTTTATCATTATTGAATTATTTTATACAGTATAGTTGGTCAAGTTCTGAATTTTCTATTTTGTGAAGTAGGTTTTTCCGTGTATATTTGCGCGTATGTTTATCGAGGCCCTTGTAGCACGTCACAGCTGGTTCTCAGGATGCTTCTCTCACGTATTGTTTCCCCGCTTGGCTTACTCACATACTTTCTATATGAAATGGAGAATTACTTTATTTAGTTAAGACTCTGAAAGACTTAGAAGATGATTTTTTTTTTTTTTTTGGTATGTGCCCCTAGCGGGAACCGAACCCAGGACTCTGGTCCGCAGGCCAATGCTCCAACCACTGAGCCAAACCGGCCAGGGCTAGAAGATGAATTTGATTTCATTAAAACAAAAAGTAGAAAGACCATCATATGAAAATTCAAAAGACAAATGGCAAACGGAAAATGAATGTTTGTAACTCAGTGTAGAATAAAGGTTCATGCCTTTAATGTACAAATTAATAAGAAACAGAGAAATGCCCCCATAAATGGACAAGAAATGTGAAAAAGATTTTACAGAATTGGACAGCTATTCAACATGTAGATTAAAAGTACACTGAGAATTTCACAACAGAAACGGGTTCCGGAATTGCCATTTGTTGTAAACAGCTAAAAACTAGGCAAAATAAAAGGAGTGTATGTTCTCACATGTTGGACAGCAGCAGGTGGGGGGCAGGGAGGAGGGGCTCAGGGCAGTGGCCTTGCTGGTGGGAGAGACCAGTGAGTCGGAGGCCTGGGCACACGCGATAGCAGAGCAGGCTTGGAGAGTGGAGTTCCGGCGGGAAAGAGCTCAGGAGGGCCCTCGAGTCCTTGGCTGAAGAGGAAGCATTTTGGTGGGGGAGATGGGGGCGACGGGATTAGGGAGCGTTTCAAAGGCAGGGCCAGTTCACTGCCAGGAAGCTGTGAGGGGGACACCTGTGAGCCGGGGGTGGGGGTGGGGGTGGGGTGGGGTGGGGGGTGCGGCGCTGGGAGTCAGCAGTTGCCACCAGCTGAGGTGGACAGAGCCCCTTCAACCCGAGGACGCCCAGGAGAGACCCGGAAGAATCACACCCCAACTGCAGGGCAGCCGAGAGCTAAAGCCCGCTGTACACACCGGAACGTGGGCAGCTAGTGCGCTGTCGACACAGAAAGGGAGCAAGTGGGGGCCCTGGCCAGGCGCTCAGCTGGGTCAGTCGTGCTCCTGATACACGAAGGTTGCAGGTTCGATCCCTGGTCAGGGCACATACAAGAATCAACCGATGGCCCGGCCGGTGTGGCTCAGTGGTTGAGAGTTGACCCTGCACCAAGAGATCCAGTTCGATTCCTGGTCAGGGCACGTGCCCAGGTTGTGGGCCCGATCCCCAGTGGGGGACATGCAGGAGGCGGCCAAGTGATGTTCTCTCTCATCGATGTTTCTATCTCTCCCTCTCCCTTCCTCTCTCTGTAAAATTAATAAAAAGGGAAAAAAATTTTAAAAAAAGAATCAACCAATGAGGCATAACCAAGTGTAACAAAATCGACGTTTCTCTCTCTCTCTTTCTCTCCCTCTCTCTATTGTCAATAAATACAAATGAAAGGGAGCAAATGAAGCCAGACCTCTAATTAAGCCAGATTAACGAGGAAGCTAGGTCCCCCGGAAGTCCCGGGGGGCGGCGGCATTCTCTGCCGACAGATGCCAGTTCCCAGGAGAGAGGAAGGGCCGGCTCTCCCATCTCCCCAGGGGACAACCTGCTGCTCCCCGGATTCGGAAGGGGGGGGCAGTAAAGGAGACATTCCTCTGCTGAGCCCTGTGCAGTGGCAGCCTAGACGGGGACCGTGAGGGGAGCTGTCCTTCGGGGGAAAGGAAGAGGTTGGCGAGGGCGGGGCCCAGCACAGCCTTGTCCGCACGTGGGTGCAGCCCAGAGGCTGGGTGTCGTCCACAGTGGGGTGGAGCTGAGCACTGGCTGTGATGAGGCAGCAGGCACTTGGGGACAGTCCTTTGGTTCTGCTCCAATCAACCTGCACTGCACCTCAACCCCTCCACGCATGGGTCCCCGAAACGCTCTCCTTGCGAACCCGGGGAAGAATCTGTTTCCACCGGTGACAGAGGCCTGACTCACAGCCTGCTCGCAGCTTCCAGCGACCACCCCGTTCCCCAGAAGTGGGCAGAAACGGGAAAACCAGTCCGAGGCTAGGAGGGGCTCCGTCGGAAGCACCCTGGAAGAACCGAGACGAGGCGATGATCAGACAGGTCACGATGTGCTCGGGTTTAAAGAACAGCGTGAGCGTGACGAGCACGGAAGGGGAGTGGAAACAGCCCAGGGAAGCTTCGTGCCAGAAACAGTCCTGAAGGTGACACACTGACCGGACGGTCTGAGCAGCAGATTTACGTCGAACCTCTTGTTTCTTGGCTCTCCTGGGCCTGTCTGGTGCCAGGGAATGACCTCTGTCCACAGAGTCTCCTACAGTCGTGTCGCCTCGCTGTCTTTAGAGTCCGTGATTCATCACGTCCGTGCGACTTCCCCGAGTGCGTGCGTTAAACGTGGGTCCTCTCCGCCTCATCCGTCTCTGTTAGTGGGGTTGTTAGCTCAGCTAGAAGAACGTAGAACGGGGCGAAGCCCCCACACAAGCAATACCTGAATGCAACGTGCGGCACAGATGTCTCTGTGGTTACCTGGATGGTCCCTCAGTTCCCGAGTCTCCCGGAATCTTACTAATGAGGAAAATCTGTACAGGCAGGTCAAACATTTTTGACAAAAATAGCCAACTCTATTAAATTTTAAATTATCTGTTATAGACAGATATAGACTACAGCTTTTTAAAATTCTTCATCTTTTAATGTTTGTATTGGCATTGAAGTGAATTAAGAATTTCAGGGACAACATACGTAATTGGGAGATTGGACCAGATTGTATTTAAAATCCTTTAGAATTCCGTGATCTTATAATTTCTGAGATGCTTAGGGTTTCCCAGTCTCGGAATGAGCTTAATTCACTAGGAAAATGGAGATGACAGTTAATAATTGTGGATTTCCAGTTTATTTTCTTTGTCTAGTACGGCATGATTTGTCAATGGTTAATTGAGTTATGAGAAACATTAAATTACAATACATTTCTGCCTTCTATGTAGTAAGTTTTTTTTCATTAAAATCTTTTTTTTTTTTTTATGTTTTAGTGAATAACCCTATACCTTCCAATTTGAAATCGGAAGCAAAAAAAGCTGCTAAAATTCTAAGAGAATTCACAGAAATAACTTCCAGAAATGGACCTGATAAGATCATTCCTGGTAGGTAAATAAAACACGCACTGTTCATGTCTAAGTCTGCTTTGTTCCTAACTTACGTTTTATGGTCCTGACTTCAGGCCGCAAGCCCTCGGCCCACCTTCTCCGCTGGCTGGCCGTCCAGTGGTTCTGGGCAGCCTCCCGCCAGGGCTCCCTCCCTGCCTCACCTGCCTCACCTGCCTCACCTGCCTCACCTGCCTCACCTGCCTCACCTGCCTCACCTGCCAGGGGCCCTGCGCACCTGTGGGCTCCGCTGCCCTCGCTCGTCGGCCGCGTCCTCCCTGTCCGAGGGCTTTGCCAGCTCATCTTGCAAACGCACTAACTGATCTCAAGAAATTTCATTTTTTGTATTTTCTTTTTCTAGCTAATTACAGTTCACAGTGGTTTAGGAGGACATGAATCAAAACTTTTCAGCACAGGCGCACCTCAGTATTCCTGGGTCATAAACTCCCCCAAACCGGCGGAATCTGACCCTCCCGCGAGCCAGTGTGGCCAGGGTGCGGACTGTTTGCCAGGGGATCCCTGCGCGGTCAGGCCTGTGCGTGAGACCTGGTGTGCCCTGAGCCTGGGGGTGGGGTGGGGGCACACCAGTTATTTCCACAGGGTGTTGCATAGAGTCCTCACCTCTCGTGAAAAAGATGCGTCTACAAACCCGCCTGGGCCATGTTGCCGACGGATTCCCCTCTGAGTTAATCAGTGCCTAATTCTGACCCTGCATTAAAGAAACCAGTTCCATCTCCTAAGCCAAATTTTCTGACGTTGTTAAACAGAACATTAAATGTCAAAATGTTTTTAATTTGTTTTCATAATACTAGTAACATTAATTATTGTTTTGCTCCAGCCACCTTAAGAAAACAGGTGGCAGGAGCTCCTGGGAAACGCAGAACCCCGTTTCCCGCGCTCCTGCTCCCGGTGGCCTGTGCCCAGGTGGGAGGGCACCCCGTCGGGGGGAAGGCCTTCACCCAAGAGAATCCTGGAGCCGGTACTCTGAAGCATGACGTATGTTCTTGTGAAACATACGCTTTCGCTCAGTCTCCCTTTCTAAACAGCAGCGTACCGGGTACGAAAGCTTCCGCGAGACTGGAATGTGAGATGCTGAGGAAACTCCGGCCAGTGGTGGTGGAAAGTACCTGCCGATGCGGAGGACAGCTGTCAGCCTTGTCAATACATTGCAGCCTTTGAAATACAGAACGGAGGGACACTTGGTGGACTGCCCTCTGGGAGCCGGCTTTACCTTCTAACCTTGCCTAGTTGTGAACAGCTGTACAGATGTTCTGCACAGTGAGTGCATGCTCCCGAGAGTTACCTCCGAGAGTACGCTAACGTCAATCTCCGAGTGATGTGTACAGCTTTGTCAGAAATGTAGTTTTTCTAGGGACACGCACAGAACCTTTTCTGTGTATTTGAGGACAGTGTCCGGTTTGACTACATATTTAACTGGGGATTTGGCCCTCAGCCTGGGCATGTGCCCTGACCGGGAATCGAACTGGCCACCTCTTGGTGCACGGGTCAGTGCTCACCCACTGAGCCACAAAGGCTGGGCAAAGTTTGTTCTTAATACAAAGAAATCTCAGCTTCTTTGAAAATACTAACTTATTTTTTAAATTTTGAATTATGTTCCAAATTAATTGAAATGTCCAAATTACTTGTCCGGCTACCAGACATCAGTGAAACCTCAGCCAGAGATACCTCAGGGTTGTTTGCAGAAACAAAATAAAGTGGAGCTGGGCGCCAGGACCCCCCCGTCTGTCCTGTAACTAAGTTTCACTCCTGGCTAAATGCGCCAGGGGCTCCTCCTGAGAGCAGCCTCCACGGCACCTGCCGACCTGTCGTCTTTGCTTTGCAGCTCACGTCATCGCCAAAGCCAAGGGCCTCGCGGTTCTGTCTGTGATCAAAGCTGGGTTTCTGGTGACTGCTCGAGGGGGCAGCGGGATCGTGTTGGCCCGTCTTCCGGATGGAAGTAAGTGACGTTTCTTCTCGGGGCGGAGAGAACCCTGATCTTCATTGTTGTTTCACAGGGAGCGTGACAGGGTTCCCACGCCCCAGACTGCCCTCCTCAGGGCTCCCCGGCTGTTCCCGGGGGTCCAGCTGCCCAGGGCCCAGAGCTGCTCAGCTCTCCTCTGACAGTGTCAGGCGAGATCCCGGTAGACCTGGCTTTGCCCTGCATACGCTGGCGGTTCTCGCAGGGAGCAAATATTAAACATGACAACATTTGCATTCTGCTGTTACATGAGTTCTCATTCCTCAACTTGGTGGCACACAGTTTTCTCTTGTTTTATAAGAAAACGAGAGCCTGTGGGCTTCTCTGCTGCTCCCGTGGGAAGACCTTTCAAGAGCATCCCCTGAGCAGAATCCTAGCAAGACCAGTATCATTCGGTCTCACTTTCTGTGATGAAATCTCACACTTGACTTTTCAGAGATGAAATCAAAGTATATTTTCCTTGAATGACAAGAACCGGCATTTACAGTGACGTTTAAAGTACATGCAGGTGTGTCACGACCAACCAAGACGCTTTTATACCAACTTTGCTGTTCAGCCATATCAGTGAGCACATTTTTGTGTAAACAGTTATTTTTAGTGCAGATTTCGTTCTGGATAGACTCGCTATTTAGTGTCTGGATTGCTCGCAGCAAGCAAAGTTCAATTTAAAAGCTAACAGGCATTTCAAGAAATTACTCCATGTGAACCGTTCCACCCCGTCACCCAACCGAAGTGGAATTGCTGTTCTTAGTTTCAGGACTATTGTATGCTTATTTCTTCTGATACAGAAACAGGTTAAACAACTCTAGGGAAAAACACATTAATTTTGTTGGGTGCTTAGTTTCCAAATGTAAAGAAATGTATATTACTAGAATTTTAATCATCTTGAACGTTTAGCCTATTTCTTGTGCTTCTACCGGACATGAAGGGTATCGGTTTGCCCTTGTGAATGTAAAATAGAAGCAATGTGGTGTTGTGTTTCCTTTAGGAGTGATTGTGATAAACTTTCTATCCCTTGGCTCTCATATCTGCGATATGCTTCTAACTAAAGACTAGAATTACTGCTCAGTTATTTCGTAAAACATAAAATGTTGATTGTTACGTATGTTTAGTTGGTGAGAATTCAATAGTTTGGCATTAGGCATGTTTATTGAGAAAGATTAGACAACATGGATTTTGAGTCTAAGAGACTCACATTGAATATCTAATATTTTTCAAATATTTTAACTTAAAAGTTATATATTAAGAACTTTTTTAGAGAGGGAAATGCCAAAATCATATTATTTTAAAAAGAAACAGTATCCATTCTCATTTTAGCATTTTATTACGGGAGGGGGTTCAGTGTTGGAGTGACGTGTGTTTTTTCTGTTAGAATGGTCCGCACCTTCAGCCATCGGGATAGCGGGGCTCGGCGGAGGATTCGAGATCGGAATCGAGGTAAGTGGCAGATGTTATGCACACAATCAAGAAATCTCTAACAGCGACTGAAACCAGACACGTGAACGTGAGATTTCTCTTCATCCTCATGTTACCACCTGTGGAAACGGTTCCCTTCTATTCTCTTGATGAATCTCTACCTAAAACGATCAAATGTTCCCGTTTTTCTTCCCTTTCTTTCATTTAGAGCACAGTTTTTTTCATTTGTCATGTTTCATGTCCAGCATATCTGTAGAACAGATTCGTCTCGGATCTGGTGGACTATATGTAATTGATAATTTATGGCTTACTTATTGGGCTCAGACAGTGAGTGGGCGTAAGCTGCTGGACAGTGCCTGGGCATTTGTGGCAAAACCCAGTTTTGTTACACTTGACACAGATTATTTCCAGTCCTTTAAATAAAGCTTGGCAACCCTGCTCCTAATAGTTCAGGCTCCTGTGACTGGACTGGAAACCACTCCAGGTGCGCTGGCTTGTCTTCCACACGGCATGACATTTCGGCAGCTGCTTTTCTGCTGCGTGATTATAAGTCAGCTCTCCCGACATCTCGGTCCCTTTTCTTCTTGAATTCCAGCCCCCCTGCCACGGCCTCCATTCCCGCGTTCCCGCGGCCTTGTGAGAGGAGGGGTCTCGCGGACGTCACTTGACGTCTTGACTCAGTGCCGCAGGACTGTTGTAACGAGGGGACACGTTTCAGTGTAGCTCAACACGACTGCCTTTTTGTTGCATATTCCACCAAATCACAGCCTTCAGAAATGTCGCCCTCTGTGGAAACCGAGTTTTCATCACCTCCCACCCACCTCCTGGCCGAGCCGGTGGTGCTGCCCCGAGGCTCCTCGGGCCGGGTCCCAGCCAGTTTCCACGCCCCTCGGACTCAGCTCGGAGCTGGGGGCCTGTCTCAAATAGCACTTATTTCAGAAATGAGGAGAGGCTCTGGCTGGGTAGCTCGGTCGGTTAGAGCATAGTCCCAATACACAAGGTTGTGGGTTCTATCCCTGGTCATAGCAGATACAAGCATCAACCAGTGATTGCATAGGTGTGTGGAACAACAAACTGAGATTTCTCTCTCTCGAGTCAATAAATATATATATTTTTTTAAATGATGAGAGACTAAGTAATAATGGTGTAGGTAAATTTAACATAGTCAAGACTAAACATGGGTGTCCCCTGGTGATTCTTTGGAAACTGGATTCCGGGCCACAGGGCACATTAATCGCCTTGAAAAACAAGTACAGATGCATGTAGTCCTACCACGCAGTCACGAAGCAGAGACTTAAAGTAAACCTTTTATAGAACATGCACTTGGCCACCTGTCCAAGCAGTCGGTCCGGAGGCTGAGCGGCCGGTGCCGCCCGGTCCAGCTGGCTGCCCCGTGTGTGCTCACGCCCACCTGGAGGCCAGGGCAGCCTTCCCTGGGGCTCCCTAAGGAAGGAACCAGCACGGGAATGTGCGGGCTACTGAGAGGAGGCGCTGGGGCTGAGACCGGTGTCTGTACCCAGGGGCCGCCCTGCCTCGCGGGGTGGGTTGTGTTGGTTTTCAATGCCCACCCTGGGCCACCCGGCAGCAGTGAGTTTAGAAGACAAACGCGTTCCCGTGTCCACGCACCTGAGCGCTCTCCTGCCGGGCTCTGCGGGAGGCACAGTGCTTGAACCTCACAGCACGAGAGGGTTGGCTGCTACCATCTGTGGAAACGAAATTCCATCCTCCGCTCAGGATGAAAACGCGGCTTTCGTATTCTTCTCTGTCTGCGTTGAAACGCTTGCTGCAGCATATATACTATATTGGAGTTTTAATCCGCATGTGTTTTAAATAACATTTAAACAGAATTATTTTTTAAAAAAATGGGTGTCTGCATTTCAGGTGTCGGATTTGGTGATTATTCTGAACTACGACAGAGCAGTAGAAGCTTTTGCAAAAGGAGGCAACCTGACCCTTGGCGGGAACCTCACTGTGGCCGTCGGGCCCCTGGGCAGGTGGGTCCTGAGGACGTCGGGTAGAAACGTTCACAACTCTGGGCATGAAGAGGAAACAAATTCAAGTGAAACAAAGCTCTGGTTCCTGAATCTCACAGGAGGTTTGGGATGCTTACAAATGAGGAATTTGCAAAACACAGCCAGTGTGATAAAATGAGAAAATTTGCACATGCAAGAAGAAACTAGGTGTTTCTGAAATTCCAGCCATTGTATCTTCTGGAATTGAAAACAAAATTTACATTAAGCCTGGAAGGAGACAAAACAAGTTAAATTGAATTAACTGGTAAAGGGCAGCATTGATCCGCAAAGAAAAGCCTTTTTTTCCTAACTAAATTATGGAAAATCAAAATGGAAGTGTTTTACTTGAGTGTCTTTAAGACACAGTGGATTCTCCCTCCCTATTAATGAAGTACTAATCTGTGTTCATTGAGCACTGTAGAAACATTGGAAACCCAGACTGTATAGAAGTTACATAGAAAAATCATCTAAAACAATGTCTAAGTCCATGAAAGTGCTCAGTGTAAAGAATCCATGGTCTTTGGGACTCGGGGTGTATTTCCTGTGCTGGGAAGGGAAGCAGGTGAGAGAGGGCAGCTTCCACGCGGGCCGTGCAGCAGCCTCGGGTCATCCCTCCCTCAGGCTCCAGGGTTTCGTGGGCCCTGCTGTCCCTGCACCGCCTAAACCACGCAGGCGAGGCCACAGGACGCGAAACAGATAAAGACTTGAAGGAACTGTGGCCCGAGCCGGTCCTGGGGTCGGCCGGACAGTGCCCTCCAGACAGGTGTGTGGGGGAGCCGTCTGGGAGCTGAACCTCTGTCTTGCAGGAATTTGGAGGGAAACGTGGCCCTGCGCAGCTCTGCCGCCGTCTTTACCTACTGCAAGTCCAGAGGCCTCTTCGCGGGCGTCAGCTTAGAAGGCAGCTGTCTGATCGAGAGGAAAGAAACCAATCGGAAGTAAGTGCGAGCCAGCGGTTGTCACTGCTGTGAAGGCGGGGTCACGAGGAAAGGGTGCTTCACGAGCGTGTGGGAGGTCCCAGTGTTTACAGAGGACCTGTGTGCCCTTCGTGCAAATCAGCGTGTGGTCTGAGTATACATTTCCTCATTTAAAAGTTCAGTATGAAATCAAATGTACCCACAGAAAGTTTAGAAACACAACCAGCTAAAGGGGGGAAGCATTTTGCCCCTTAATATTAACTATCACATTTTGTTGCCGTCAAACATTTTTCTAAGCATAATTTTCTCTTGTTTGGCCGTATGTGACTGTCTCCTAAGATTCTATTGCAAGTGCTATTTTTCCACGTAGCGTTATAATGTGAGAACCATAAATGTAAGTTAATGGCTACATAATATTCGATTCGTTAGATGTATCCTAACAGGCCAAGAGGAACTTCCACTTTAAACTGGCATCTGGCTAATTGTTACCAAAGCAGATCTTTCAAATCTCCACTAAAATACGGCTGACAGGAGCTCGGCTTCTAGAACCTGGAGAAATTCCTCCGGGCGTGAGCCCGAGGGAGCCGACGGGGCTGGTTCACAGACAGACCTTCCCCCAAAGGGAAACCTGTGCCAAGTCTCCACTCACAAATCTAGCACCACACTTGAGGACTTTAAATGTAAACCGCCAAGGCCAGACAACAGGAGGAACAGGGGAAGTATCGGCTATGGACCTCTCCATCAGAAAGTCAAGACATGCTCTTACCTCTGGTTTTATAAATCTGAGAAATACAAGTTCACACTGCTTTAGGCCTTTGGAAGAATTCCCCACTATAGTTCACCTAAATTCTGTATAAACTAAAAGAAATATACTTAATCAATTGCAGAGCTTCCAAACATGTGAGGCAAATCTTTATGTAACTTTGAAGCAACTCTATATTTAAAGAAATTACAAAATCATATATGTTGGAATAAAGCCTTAGGCTAGGGTTATTAATAAACTTAAGAAATAAAAACCTATAACAATGTATCTGCTTGTAGGTGTATTTGCGAAACTGTTGATATCCATGTATATGTATGTTTGTATGTACAAGTGTTTGGATGTATATTGGATGTGCATTTTATATATATACACATACACACACACACATACTTTATCCTCACCCAAGGACATTTTTCCATTTTTTGTTCAGATAGAATGGTAGGGAGAGAGAGGAAGAGAGAGAGAGAGAAACATCAACATGAAAGGGACAACCAGGGCCGGGGACAAACTGCAACCGAGGTACGTGCCCTTAGTGGGAACCAAACCCGGGTCTCTCTGGACCGCAGGCTGATGCTCTAACCGCTGAGCCAAACCGGCCAGGGCTGCATTTTATAGTCTTTTTTGGACCATGTATGGTGGTTGCTTCTCAGAGAAGAGCTTGGGAATAAATTTTGGGGTTTAACATGGGTTACAGCTTGCAGTTAGTTTAAAAAGTAGCATGTAGCCCGGCCGGTGTGGCTCAGTGGTTGAGCATTGACCCATGCACCAAGAGGTCACAGGTTCGATTCCCAGTCAGGACACACGCCCAGGTTGTGGGCCTGATCCCCAGTGGGCGGCATGCAGGAGGCGGCCAGTCAATGTTCTCTCTCATCGATGTTTCTATCTCTCTCTCCCTCTCCCTCTAAAATCAATAAAAAAAAAAAAGTAGCGTGTGAGTAAATGCACACGCGAGATTTAACTGTGGAAAAGATCCACATCTATAAAAGAAATGCTCTTAATCTGACGTTTGTTTTTAGATTTTATTGTCAAGATATCCGCGCGTACGACATCTTATTTGGAGATGTGCCGCGGCCCGCCCAAGCCGGAGACCTTTACGAGATTCTCGACTCCTTCACCGAGAAGTATGAGAACGAAGGGCAGCGGATCAACGCGCGGAAGGCGGCCCGGGAGCAGAGGAAGGCTTCGGTAGGGTTGGGTGTGCGGGTCTCAGTCGCCACAGGATGTTCCGTCCCCGATAGCGGCTTCCTCGTGAGCTGCCGAACTTCCCTTGTAACTTCAGTCACACGAAGTTCTTGTGACAGTGCCCTGCAGCCACCTCGACATGTCGTCTGCACAGCTCTCGAGGGGAACGCCGCTTGTTTCCCACGACAGCGCTTCTCCAAGAACTGAGCTCTGGAGGGCCAGCCGCTAACCCTGGCCGTGGCTGGGGTGCGGCCGGGAGAGCCAGGGTGTCCTGGGCCTGGGCTGCCTAGTTCCACCGCCCGTGTTTGGTCGCTCCCTGTCTCTAAGAGTGCAAACTGGCTCACGGAGCTTGAACTGCCGCCGCCTCCCCACGCCGCCACCTGACTCTCCGGCAGGTCACAGGGAGCCCCCGGCAGGAGTCTGCTGTTCAGGTCAACTCAGGTGGCCAGAGTGGCAGGTGGAGCCCGAGGGCCTCACTGGTCTGAGCACGGGGTGAAATCTGCCGCACACTCGTCAGGAAAAAGGCTGTGGATGCTCCCAGGTAAAAACAGGGTTTTTTAATCACGTGCATGTTTTCCCCTCAGGCCAGAGAGCTGCCTCCCAAACCACTGTCGAGACCACAGCCGGCGTCTCGAGGCCGACCGGACGCCGACTCTCAAAGTAAGTATTTTCATGGCGATTCAAATCCAATGACAATTAAGCCATTATTAAATGTTATGGTTAAGAAATGGGGCTACATTGTCGAACTTTCCAGTCAAATACAAAAACTAATGGGCATTAGAGAAAGTCGGAGGCCTGCTCAGTGCTCAGGGGGAGTTATTGCTGCGGTTACTTGTTAGAACGTCTGTTCTCATTCCGTGGATGCTGATTTAAAATGTAAAGAACAAGGCTGTTTTTCTTATATCCGCACAGATCCATATTTCTGCATGTTAACGGTACCGTCCACTCGGATCTCAGGGTTTTGTGGGCTGGTTTTTAGCCTGGATGCACACCCCACTGCGCGTTGGCCTTGACCCCTCTTTCCATCGCTCGTTTCTGAGTCACCCTCAGAATTCTGTCCTCTGCGAAGGGTCAGCGCAAGCGGCCGTGGGCCAGAGCAGGTGGTGTTTCATGTCGTGATGCCTGTTGTTCGGGAAGGGCTGTCATGTTCCTGGGGCACAGCCGTGAGTCTGACTCTCACCTGCAAGAACTTCCGGTGCAGGAGGGGAGGTGCCCGTGCGGAGGAGTAACCAAGGTCGCTGGAAGGAAGTGTGCGGTGTTTGGGGAGAGCCAGTGTCCGAGCGTGTCCACAGGAAGCTCCCCCCGTCCCCGCCGTGGTCTGCGCCGTTCCCGGCTCTCAGGTCCATGTCCCCAGGTTGCCGGCTGTGCCCTTGTCTTGCCCAAGGTCACCTCCCAGGAATGTTCCGGAACCAGATCCTCTCCACTCTCCTCCCGCCCCTGTGACTCAGTTTGTATCCTGTTCGCTCAGGGGGCTGCATTCCGCCCCCAAAGGGGATGCCGATGTCTGCCTTGCGCTCAGGCGATGACCCTGCCACGGCTCACGCCTCCGTGACCAGACGTGAACGCCCAATCTGGCTTTGCTCTGGATCTCGGCGGCTGCAGAAAATTGGACTGGTGTGCATGTTTTAAAATACATGCTTCTAAAATCCCCTCAGGAAGAGGAAAGCTGTCTGTGTCCACATTTAAATCCCGTGTTAGTCCTCATGTCGAGTCCCTTCGGTGTGGATTGAAGAACTCACCTTCCGTCAAGGACATCTGTTCTCTGACAAGTGGTCTCCGGAGACCTGCTTCCTCGGTGCGTCCCTCAGGAGCAGGCCCTACACCCCATCACCTGGCCACTAGGCCCCTCCCCCGAGACCATGCTGTGCAGACAGCGGGTCCCTCTGCCCGGCCCTTCCCGCAGGTCAGCTGAGGTCTCACACGCGGGGGACAGACCCCGACTCAGTTTCCTTCTGTGCGGCTCCATCTCTGTCTCATTGCACCGTCTTTCACAACAATCACCCCAAGTTTTGAACACCCACCACTTTTCGACTTGATAAAGTCCTCATTTCTCCTCCGTCTTCACTTCCCTCACCTTCCAGACTCGTTCCAGGAAAGTCGTGTGCACAGCAGGAGGTGTACCCCTGCGTTTCCCTCCGTGTGTGGTCCTACATGGAAGCACATGTGCAGACACATCCCTGCACACGGACGAGACACTATCCCTGCACATGGACGGGACACGATCCCTGCACGCAGATGGGACACTTTGTTACCGGCTCACAACGTGCTGTCCTGTTTCACAGGCTTCACTCTATCTTGTTTGTTTGTGGTTTTTATTTCTTTGTTTTGCTCCCAACACCTCATGGACGTCTCAGAGTCAGCAGGTGTAGCCCTAGCTCATCACTGTCAATGGCTGTTTAATATTTCAAAGTGCAGATGTGCCTGTTTTATCCGGCCCCTCGCCTGTCAGTGGGAGCGACTTTATTTCACTTGTCCCCGTGCCCAGTGGTGCCAAACTCACCTTTCAAAATCAGTGTGTCTAATAAAACATGCACGTTGAAATTTGTTTTGTGATAATTACCAGAAATGGACATGACAGCTCAAAAGAGATATTTTTAAAAATTAACAGATTTGGTAGGTTGCTTTTTACAAGTGTTGGCTGCTGCGGTCCTGTCAGCCGATCCAGTGTCCCCCCCGGGTCCCCCCTGGGCTCTTGCTGTGGGGCCAGGCCGGGCTGGTGATGGCTCCTTGTTCGGGGATTGCACTTGGCCTGTCTGTGAGTGGCTTAGACATTTCTTGACATAATGGCTGGGGTTTTAGATTTAATTTTTTTTCCAAAAAGTGTCTTTCTTTTACCCATTTCCTTCTATTGGATGTTTGTTGCCTTTTCAGTTTGGGAGGCGTGGGCAGGGGCCAGGCAGCTTTTCTGCACCATAGTTTATCTGTCGATCTTAGTTTCCATGTATTTCACCATATAAGAATTTTAATTTTTATATAAAAATGTATCTGGCATCTGTTTCTCAACAGGTTTTGTATTTGTTGTTACGGGAGGGTCTTACATGGATGTGTTTCTAGATTTTGTCTGCAGTGTTTTTATCTGTGAAGTTACTGATTCTTCATATACTGACACCATTTTATCAGCTCCCCCTCCCTTAACATTCAGTTCCCACTGAAATGACATTATGTCCTGATTTAGTTCTATGAATCTGGGGTATGAATTCTAATATTCCATGTCTAAAGTAATTACATTAGCATTTCATAACAATTTCCCATTTTATGCTTCCCATTGGTTGAGATATTTTGTATATTTCCTAAGATTTCATAGTTTCTGTGCCTTTCTTGTTAAATTTATTTCTCACTTTGTAATTTTGGTTTGCTGTGGCGAATGAAATGTACCCCCATTTCTACTTCAGGCGGCTCATTTTGTAGCCCAGAAAGTCTAAACTTGCAAACGTTTGTCATACCTCTGGTCACCTACCCAAACCTCATACTTCCAGTCAGTTCTTAAAATAGATTCTCTTGAGGTATTTTGCCCCCTGCCCCGCCCTGCCTGTTGCATTTCTACGTTCGCATGTTCACGGACCTCGGAGGCTGGCGGCTCGCTGTGCTGAGAGGTGGACACACGTCCAGGCCTGGGGGCTCGCAGAGCTGCAGGGCCAAGCCCCACCCTGGGCGCCCAGACGCTTCTCCCCGGCGCAGTTGAGGGCTCTCCTCTCTCTTCCGTGCTTGGGTAGTAGTTTCTTTTTCACACTTGAATAAGGAAAGCAAACCCAAGTCCTCCTGAATGGCACTGTGCTACCTTGTCCTCAAAATGTGGGGACAGTGATCCAGTTTGAAGGGTGGATGTTGATGTAGTTGGTAGATGAATCTGATGAGTTGCAAATACTTTCATTAATCAGGCGATTTCCATTATATATTATTATTTATTAAATAGCATATATCCTAATCATCAGATGCTATTTTTTTTTTTTTTTTTATCCTCACCCGAGGACATTTTTCGATATTTTGTTCAGATAGAGTGGGAGGGAGAGAGAGAGAAACATCGACGTGAAAGCGACACATCGAGTGGTTGCCACCCACACGACCCAATCAGGGCCGGGGACAAACTGCAACCAAGGTACGTGCCCTTAGCGGGAACCGAACCTGGGTCTCTCCGGACCGCAGGCCGACGCTCTAACCGCTGAGCCAAACCGGCCAGGGCATCAGATACTATTTTTGAAAATCTTATAACTTTCACCAAAACAAGAAGCTTTAATAGTAACATTTTACTTTATTTAAGTCCTCACCCGAGGACATTTTTCATTGATTTTTATAGAGGGGAGGGAAGAGACACAGAGAGAAACATCGATGTGTTGCCTCCCACATGACCCCAGCTGGGGCCAGGGATCAAACCCATAACCTGGGCATGTGTTCTGATCGGGACTCGAACCCAGAACCTCTAGGTGTACAGGATGACACTCCTACCCACTGAGCAACACCGGCTGGGGCATCATAGTAATATTTTATTACTTTATAAATAATACTTGATTGTTATTGTTGTTTTGATGGTACATAACTGATTTTTCCTGACATTTGTCTCAGAAGGAACATAAGATAATTCTGTTACATTGCTATAAAATATCTCCTTCTAGCCCTTTAAGTTTTTATAAGAACCAGCTTTCTTAGCCCCTATCTTGAAAAACGGTTCTGATACTGGAGTAGAACTGGATGCTGAGCCGATGTCCTTGTAGAAGGTAAAAAATAGTATCCTGTGTACATCAGTTCCTTTTAAACGTCTCATTCATATACTGAGATGCATTTCGAGTGAAATTTTACTTATATGTTTAGTGAGGTAACAAATTCGTAATATATGTAAGGTTTTGATCCATTGTGTACAAATAATGATTATAAAGACAACTTAATCTACAAGAAATTATTTAGTAAAGCCCTGTGTTTACTTAAAACAAATTACAAAAAATAACTATATATACACATTTTTGTTGTAGAAACTGTTACATAGAAAATATAACATTAGAATCATTTGCAATCTTGCCCCCTGGCAAATGTCAGCAGTTTGGCTCGAAGAAACTCTTAGAAAGTATAATATTAATACATTAATATAAAATCTTTGGGACAGATGGAATGGAAATATGATTTGAAGGTTAAAAATGAATATTACATACTTTCTGACTATTGAAAAAAAACGCTTGTTGATTTTCTTTAATGAATGATGGTGGGTTTCAGATCAGTAAGATATTTAGAAATATCTTTTATCCAAAAAAGATAAATGTAATTATTTAATTTAAATAATTGATAATGACATTTTTGTTTAAAGTATACCCTTTACAACTTTTAAGCTTATGTTAAACACTTGTAGCTGTTAATTAAAAAGTATATATGGCCCTGGCCAGTTTTGCTAAGCAGTTAGAGCATCAGCCTGCGGTCCAGAGAGACCCGGGTTCGGTTTCTGCTAAGGGCATGTACCTCGGTTGCAGTTTGTCCCCGGCTCTGGTTGGTCATGTGGGTGGCAGCCACTCGATGTGTCCCTTTCACGTCGATGTTTCTCTCTCTCTCTCTTCCTCCCACTCTATCTGAACAAAAAATGGGAAAATGTCCTTGGGTGAGGATGAAAAAAAAAAAGAAAAGAACAATATATGTGAATAAATGCTATGTAAATATTATTTTAGGGGTTAAGGTAGCAAGAATGTTAAATTGCTGGCATGGGGGGGGTCACAGGGTTTCTCGTTCAGGTGTCTCAGGGTCGAGTCTGTGGAAAGCGTGTCTGGTCGCTTTGGGGTCCCTGCCGGGCCCTGCGTGGCGGTTTGTGTGCCCTGCCTGCGTGTGCCTCGGATCGCCTGTGTTCTGGGCGTATCCTCTTGATTCCAAGCATGTAAAGCAATAGTATGTCCACCAGTGACCGTGTTCAGCAAGGGCGGGATTTGGCTTTCTTGGGTACTTTATATACTGCGAACTAATTTTCTAACGTCGCTGTTTTGTTTTTGATTTTTTTTGCAGGTAACAGAAACGAATACAAGCTCTACCCGGAACTTTCCACCTATCACGAGACAGTCGGTAAATACAAATATCTATGTGAAATGCTTCATCTCCATCTCAGCCCCGCTCGGGCAGACGGCGAGGCTCAGGGCCCAGTCCGCTTCGATCGGCAGGACTTCACATTATTCCGAGAAGTCCTTCATTTTCTTAGAACGCTGTGGTTTTGGTCTCTCACTTGCTTACCTGTGAGGGAACGAGAGTTACGTGGAGGCCAAAGCAGACAGTCACCTGCCCAGAAGCCGGCGCTCAGGGCTGGATCCGCTGCCGAGGGCGCAGGGTGCGGAGTTCAGGGTGCAGGAGCGTCTGGAAACGCGTCAGGAGTAGCAGAAGTGTGTTCATTGTGAACGACAGCTTAGTCCTTATTGCATTTCTGTGTGTAAAACTTACTAGGATTTCTGAAGATGAAAATAGTCCTGCAGTCTGTCTCACCGGGATGTTCTTTAGAAAGTGCTCACTCAGAGTCCGTGGTGGTTTAGAAATGGCAGTGGGACAGGGCAGAGGCCCAGCAGCCTGTTCATCCCCCACGCCCCGTTGTCATGGAGACCCAGAAGCTGCACTCTGACCTCACGGCGGGAGATCTGTTTCCTGTGCAGAAAAAGTCCAGGCCACCAGGTGCCCGTTTTTTTTAAAAATTAATAAAAATTTCCCCAAGGTGTTTCTTGAGCACAGCCCCGAGGGGAGGTCAGCCTCACGCTGAGGGCGGTCCGCTCTCCTGGCTCCTGCTGGTGAGCTTCCTGCCCCGTTTCCCCCGGCGATTCCCCCGAGGGACTGAGGCCGGAGGCCAGGTCAGAGCTGGGGTGAGCACTGGCCTCGGGCTCACTGAGAAAACTCTGAAGACAAAAATGCATTTTGCTCTGTGATTTGCAAATGTTCCTGAGCTCGGCTGAGTGTGCCTTTGGCCCCCCGTCCTCTAGGAGCGAAAGATGTTCCTATGTAGTGTCTGCACCAAAGCAGCACGTGCTTCTGCAGGTTTTAACTGTGAACACAGTGAGGGGTAGGTTAGGGTCAGGCACCCTGGCGCCGCAGGCTTCTGCAAGCCGACAGGTCCACAGCCCAGCTGCGTGGCCTGAGGGAGGCCCACGGGGACGCCGGGTCGGGCCTGCAGCCGGAGAGCAGAGGCCTGGTGACTAGTCTTCCCTCCGGGCCCCCTAAAGCCTCGGGACGATCCCTGGGAAAGCAGAGGAAAGATTTCAGTGAGAACTGAGCTGTGAGAGGGCCCTGGGCAGCTCGCCCCGGGCCCGAACTGTTTCCGCTCCGGGCAGGCTGGCAGGCTGGTTTCCGCAGCTGAGGGAGCGTGTGGGCACTGGGTTAGTATCCACTTACTTCAGCCCTTTCTCCAAAGGTAAGGGAATTTGAAGAAAACAATAAAAGGGGACATTTAAATTCTATTTTTAAGATAAAAGTTACTTGATGTTACTGTGTTTTGTAAAAAGCAGCCTGTGAAGCCAGTTCAGCTCTTACCAAGGACTTTCTCTGCCGACTGTCTTCACACAGAAAGTCACAGCTCACAGGCTGAGCCCCAGACTGAAATCCCATTCCCCCAGGACCTCTCCGCGGCCCCCGCCAGCTCCCCAGCCGGTCCCGCACCCACAGACAGCGGCACACACGTCGGACAGGCACCCTTCAGGGGCCACGCCTGATTTACTGGGACCCTTAGCAACAGATGATCTGTGCCCTCCAGTGTTTGTGTCCCCACCTTCCTCGTACCTGCCCCCTAACTGTCCGTGTGCTCGAGACACGGTGGGTAATCCTGGTGGGGCTGTCCCGTGCCGAGTGGGTGCCTCGCAGCCCCCTCCCCAGCTGTGGCCACCGCATGTTCCTCTAACCAACCGCTGATCTGCAGCCTGGCCGGGTGATGCCCTCTTACAGGGGACATGGTCCCGACGCTGTGGACCCCGCGTGTAGCTGAGGGGCCTGGGTGCCAGGATCCGGTCCCCGGCGACTCGTCACCACAGTGACTGCAGAGCCGGAGCTGGGCTCTGACTTCCCAGAGGCCCAGACCTGGGGCCCACGTGGGTTACATTCCACAGGCCCCACTGCCGGGGGGGGGGGGGGGGGGGGGGGGGGACCCGCCTGGCCGAGGAGGAGCCTCAGGCAGCTGCCAATCACCAGAGCTGATTGTAATCTGTTTCCTGTGAAGCACAGGCCTGATTTGGGAGAGGAAAAAACCCTATTTGAGTTAAACTGAACTATTACGATGAAAATCGCCAGTTGTTTCCAAGATCCTGCAGATTTTTTTAAAGCGCAGGAATGTAAAACTCAAAGGCCTGCTACTCAGAAGGGAGGGTGACTGAGCACCCACAGTTCTGACCTCGTGGGCCCCGTCCCAGGGGGCCTCCCTTCCCAGAAGGACATACCTGCCGACTCCCCTTTTCTCTTTTTAAAAAATGACTTATGTTGTGGCCATTAAACTTTTCCTAGTGGAAATTTTCCTAATAGTCACAGTAAACAGACTCGAGCTCACTGAAGAGAAAGCTCCCCGGAGGCTGTGGGCGGGGAGCAGCCCTCCTCAGGTGAGGCCCGTGATCCCAGCACCTGACTGGGGTGGGTGCCAAGTCCGGCGGGTGGGTGCCTCCTGTCTCACCACCAGCTGGGTCTGAGGGGAGAACTGCGTCCAGCCGCCTGCCACCCTCGCCGTCCTCTCCTCTTTAGTTCATGAAACCTGTACTCCTGGCACCAGCAAGAGCTAGTCAGGTCTCAGGGTTTGCCCGGGACCATCAGATACTCCGGCTACTGTAGTCCAGATGACGCTGAGGCGGACGGGTGGACCATCCTTGAAAACTCGCTTAACGAACGTACAATGCTCTGAGAACTCTGAGGTCAGTCTGTGGAACACAACTTGACACGTGGATTGCGGGGGGCCTTGGGGACACCCCTCTGTGGCTGCGCTGCAGGCGAGGGTGGGGCAGCGTGTCTGTGCCTGTTGCAGCCGATGCAAGAACAGTCGCCGGTCTCGTGCTCCACACTGATACCTGTTATCTCACGCTCATCTTTGCTGGGCACCTTCGACGTGGCAGATGCGGCTGCCGGTGTGTGCGTGTGCCCTGCCTTCCTGAACCTGCCGCCCCGTCACGGGCGTGTCTGGGACGCTGGGGGGGCAGTGATTTCAGGGTTTTAATTGTTTGAGGTTCATTGAGATTGAGCTTCCTAGATGGAGGTGGGAAAAACCATTACTGATGAGGCAGTAGTTTTTAGAGTGATTTTTTTCTTTAACATCAACTTACGTTCTTCTGGTCAGCAGCAAGCCATGGCGCGGGGACTTGGAGCAGGTCCCAGTGGGTGCACTCCGGCTCTCGGGCTGTGTGGTGATGGCGCACTGACGTGCGGCGCTCGTGGGGTGGTTTGGATTATATCCAGACTACGTCAACATGTTCTTTTTGTGACATGTTTTTAACCTTATTCCTTCAAATGGATAGATGAGAAGCAAATCTAGTATAAAGTATAGAAAGATGCAGAACTTTTGAATGGTGGCGAAACCACAGCAGCACTCTCTCCACCACACTTGTATCGTGGCCGCGAAGGTGGTTCCCTGAGCTCGGCACGTGCACGCCCGACGGAGGAGCCCTCAGCTGTGGCTGCAGCTCGGTTTCAGTGCTGCGGTCCAACCAGCGTGGTGACTGTTTACCCTTCCCGACAGGCCAACTCCAGTTTCTTTTTCGTTCTAACATCACAGGATCAAATAAGTAACTGATTTTAGAATTTACTGTTTCCAGGACATCTGTGCTTAGATGCCAGTGACAAGCATCTACCTGCGTAATTCACGCAGTCACACGACACAGACGTGCCGAATTCCGTGTGTCAGGGTACACGGACGGTGTCTGCCTACGTGTACATGGTGCTATGCACGTCTCGCATTTCACGCCGTCGCTCGTGTGAGCCACTCAGTGCTCACAGCAGTTTTCCTGATATAACACGTTAAATTCTACACGTTGTGTTGAAGGTTTTCTTAAATATACACAGATACGTTTCTCAGTGTGAGCATTTGAATGTCGTCAGTGTTTTGTGAGAAAGGACCAACTAGGCACAGAAATGAAAGCGCCGCAAAGCCTGCAGGGAAGAGCATCTGCCGATAAAACCGCCAGGCACACGTCTGAGCCAGGCCTCAGGCCAGAGAACACGCAGCCTGGGTTCTCTCGAATCTTCCGTGAAGCAACGATGAGCACAAGTGTCAGCTTCTCTCTGATGCTAGAGGTTATGGAGCTATTATTAAAACAGGAAAAACATTAGCAATATTATAGGTCATTTAAAATTCAAACAATTATAGCCACAAACATTTGCTAAATACATTGCTGAGTATACAATACTAAGCAGTTTGACTTGTGTGGATTTAGTAAGTGTACTGCCAAACATTTGCTCTTTGCAAAGAAGAAAATCATGTGTTTAAGGATGAGAAGCACACAGCCATCCGCTGTGGGTTCCGTGTGCCTGAGGGGTCCGAATAGCCGACACCCCAGATTTCTGTCCCACCTACACATGCCCCCAGCTGTTCCCATGAAAGTGCGAATAATTCACTTTCTCGTTCGTTTGTTTTAGGCGATTCCCGTGGACCCACAGAAGTGACCGCTCTCTATTCGTTTGAAGGACAACAGCCAGGGGATCTGAGTTTTCAAGCTGGAGACAAAATCACCGTTACCTCAAAAACGGATTCAAATTTTGATTGGTGGGAAGGAAGACTTCGAGGTCAAACTGGCATTTTTCCAGCCAACTATGTTACCATGAATTAAACTTTTAATTATTTTCTTCTTTGAGAAGTACCAAAAATAATGATTTCTGCACTGATAGAACTTACTGTCCAGGTACACAGCCTTTAGCCTAAGTTTAAAAATTTGGCAAGAATAAGAAATAAAGGCATCCAAATTGGAAAGAATAAACATTTATCTTTTGTGTAAAAGAGTTAGTTTTTTTCTCTATAAATAAATGATTACCTTATATATCTCTAAATGCTTTGTACTAATTTTATCACATATACTAATCAATTGTTCAGATCCTCAATTTATATGCTCACAGTTCTTTTTTGTTTATTTTCTAGTGTCACAAAACACTTGTATATGGTAACTGTTTATTTTCATTTGAGAATCTTGAGGGTAGCAGCATCAATACCAGTACATACATATGTTTCTGCAAAGTGACTGGAGAGAAGGAAACAGTTTACATAGGATAGCAGTAGTAATGCTTAGAGTTGTAAGTATTAAGCAGAATATGAATCCTTAAAAACTATCTTCATACCTTTAAAAATTGTGTATAGACATTTAAAGTAGAAACGTACTATTACAAAGAAATTCAGCTACTATGCGTTTAAAAAGATGACACCTGTTCATGTTTCTCGTTATAAGGCTACATTTGTTAGTCTCCAGCGGTAGTAGAGTCCACTTGTCAGTCGGCATGGTTTAGTTGTCCCTGAATAAATGTTTCTTAAACGCTAACTGGATGTCTTGATTTTGGCTTTCCTATTTTCTGTGTGTAAAGTAAGCACCGGGCCTCGCTCTCGGTCACCGCCCCAGCTCAGATCGCCTTCTTCAGTGCAGTGGCCGGGACAATGCCCCTCAAAGTCGCCCCCTCGCTGCAGCGTCTCACCCTGCTGCGTGTTCTTCGTAAGGGACCCTCACACGTGCTGGCTTTGTCTAGCGCAGCTCTTCCGGGAAGCAGAACGCCCACATCGACATCCACCCGCAGAACGAAACAGCGTGTCTCCTTTTCAATGCTTCTCCGCGTCTCCTTCCAGCCCAGAGGAGCCATCATCCTGAATTTGCTGTTTATTCCATCCAGTTCTGTCTGTTGCTGTTACATGTATTTTACACGCAGTGTGTGCTATTGTCGTGTGTGCTTACAACACTGACAAAATTTAAACTTTTAAACTTAAACATGATACAGCGAATTTATTCCTTTGCAATAGAATCAGCATAAACTATGATGTATACATCCGAGGAGTTAAAAGACGAGGTGGAGTTTCTGCAGAAAGCGGGCCCTGTAGGAGCGAACTGAACGGAAAACTCGGAATTGAAAAATAAATATATCAAGAGAACAATACATGGGTCCAACAGTAATTAAACAGCAAAAAGAGAACCGTTGACTTGAAGTAGGTCAGAAACACACATCCGAGGGAACGCGAGGCAGTTGACAGTGTCGTGGATTCGGGACAGACCAGCCTGTCGCTCACCTGCCTGCCCCAGGGCCCCAAGCTCCATGTCTCGGTGGGCACGACCGGCCCTTCTGACGCCGGCTTTCCTGGCTGCTCTGTTCATCTCTACTTGTGAGCTTGAGCATCCACTTGACTTCTACAGAAAGAAAAAGAGACAATATTTTTAGTGAGATTGTGTTAAATCCGTCTCTTAACAAGAGGACATTTTGCATCCTTCTGATGGTCAGTAGTCCAGAGCAAAAGTAACAGCTGTCTTTCCATTTGCTCAGGTCCAATTCTGTCTGCATCTCCCCCCATCTGTGTCCAGCGCTGGTTGTTTTGAGGTTCTCACTACGGTTCATTAACCATGCGAGCTTCTCCTGCCTCCACAACCAGACCAGCAAAAGTCTGCAAAGAACTTGAACCCTTAGTTGTCTCTGCGGATGCCTGGAGGAAACCCGTCCCTGGGCCTCAGAAGCTCCTTCCGGAACGTCCCCTCCCCCAGGGCTCAGCGCCACTGAGCCGATCTCAGAATTACTGTCTCCCTGGGACGTCAGTTCCCTTCAGAGAACGTCTGGCTCTTCAGGTTTCTAGCTCTGGGGGAAGCAGAGAAAGTTACTGTAGAATTTTTTAGCTTTCCAGTTGTACACGGCCTTGGCCTTCTGGGGCTCATTCAGGTAGATTCCCACAACTAACACACCATCAGCCTAAGGAGAAGGTGGGTTTTTAAAAAATTACCAAGTCTTAAAATACATCTTTTCTTACCAGCTCGCCACCTGTGTTTAATGGATCACAAAATAAATGGCTGTTAATTCTGAAGTGGGACTCGGGTGTTCTGATCGGCCCTGAGAAGCCGGAGACGGGAAGGACAGAGCCAACCCTTGCAGTGGGTTCCAGGACCGGAGTGGGGCCCAACAGGTCAATACCCGACGGGAGCACACGTCCTCAGAGGACAGGAGGCCGCCTCCCCTCGCCTGCACATGGTCTTGCAACCCTCAGTTTGCAAAAGGAAGAGACCTCTGAGGTGTGGACAGGGAGATGCAAGCCCACAGAAATGTTCCCACGAGACACGTCTCCACCGCCTCGCTACCGCACCCCACTGCCACCCCACGCCGTTACAGACCGAGCACGTGTGCCCGGAGCTTCACGCAGCATCTAATCGCTGTTGACCACAAACAAAAGGAGTCCAGGTCTTCCTTCAGCAAAGGTTTATTTGGGGGAAAGAGAGTATTTCAACCAGGTATGTGCAGCCATGGCAACCCCCAAGCAAGAAGAGGGTGAACCGAAGAAGAGGAAGATCTTTTATAGGGAGAAGGAGCTAGAAGAGCTGTTCAGCCACATAGGAGTTCTGTACCTGCAGAGTCTGTGATGACTGTGGAGCCTGTGATGACTGCGGAGTCTGTGATAACTGTAGTTCTGTGATGACCTCAGAGTCCTATGATGACTGCAGTCCTGTGATGGCTGTAGTTCTGAGATGACCTTGGAGTCTGTGACGACTGTAGTCCTGTGATGGCTGTAGTCCTGTGATGACCTCAGAGTCCTGTGATGACTGTGGAGTCTGTGACGACTGTAGTCCTGTGATGGCTGTAGTCCTGTGATGACCTCAGAGTCCTGTGATGATCGTGGAGTCTGTGATGACTAGAGTTCTTTCTGTAGGGTGTTTGTTGCCTACATCGTGTGAGTGAGAGAGCTCCTCCACAGGTCTCCAGGTTTTGTCTTGGGTTAGGTCACTGTCATACATTTTCAGCTGAAACAATAATGCAAACAAAAAAAACAAACAAAAAAAGGCTTTTGGAATTTTCTGTCCTTTGCTAATGTTTTCTCTCCCCTAACAAATATTTGTATTTTCCCATCCACTCCTCTAATTCTTGTTCATGTGTACATTGCTTTATTTTAACCTTGGTTAATCACTGCTTAGAATAAATATTCCTATATGGTATCTATTTTACTTTCTATTATAATTTGAGTATTCAGTGTTGCTGAATAATGAGCACTTTATTTGCATTATTGAACAATAGTCTAAAAAATGACTATGCTTGATTTTTCTTTTTTTAGATATTTTTAATTAATTTTTTTTTATCCTCACCTGAGAACATTTCCTTGCATTTATCTCCAGACAGAGCGGGAGGGGGAGAGGGAGGAAGAGTGAGAGAGAAACATTGATGTGAGAGACACATCGAGTGGCTGCCCCCCAGACGACCCCAACCAGGGCCGGGAACAAACTGCAACCGAGGTACATGCCCTTAGCGGGAACCGAACCCAGGACTCTCTGGTCCGTGGGCTGAGGCTCTAACTGTTGAGCCAAACCGGCCAGGGCTTTAATTGAATTTTTTAGAGACCGAGGAAGGGAGAGGGAGAAAGAGAGGAAAACATTGATACAAAATCGAAACGTGATCGATCCCACAACCCGGGCATGTGCTCTGACCGGGAATCGACCCATCAACCTTTTGGTACATGGGACGATACCAGACACCCAACCAACTGAGCCAGGGCGTACGCTTGAGTTTTTTTCACATACTGATATTGTGGACATTTGAATTATATAATTATTACAGTGCATATCGAAAGAGCACCTTTGTTATGGTCTCACTCTCCCTTTAGATTGTTTTCTGGAGACACATTTCCATATGCCCATATATTTAAGGAAGTAATATGAGAGATAAAGTGTTTTTACTAATTAATTTATAATTGAAGGGCTTGAAATAATAATATTTGCCCCCTGCTCATGCCTGAGTTAGGGAGCCGAGGGATCCATCTCCGTTTCCCGTCTCAGAGTATCTCCTCTTCACACACACTTCCTGTTCCCACGTGTCGTAGAGAGAACGTTTTCCTGTTGCAGTTCCTTTGTCCTCAGTCCCAGGTGAACCCCTGTCTCTCCTCTGGGTGGGCCTCCCCCTTGGTTCTTTTCCACTGTCTGCTGCTCCTAAACTCAGACTCGTGCACACCGGTGCCGCATGCTCATCATCTAGAAACTTCCAGGCTCGAGGTTGGTGCCCCTCTCTGCAGTCTCCGGCTCCATGCTGGCCTCCCCTCCCTGTGCCTGGTGTCCCCGCACACCCACGGGTGAGAGAGACAGCCCTTTCACCTCAGACACCCCCTCTGCCAGGCTCTGACCGCTGCCCAGAAACGCACGGGTCCCTCGCACGGCCGTCCCAGCCCCCGCAGACCTCCTGTGGGGCTCACACGGAGGCTGTTGGCACTGCTCTCTGAAAGCAGAAGTCAGACGGGAGAGCTCTGGTCAAGAGCACCGGCCGTCCTGCAGCCTTGCAAGCGTGTTCCCCTCCGCCCGGCCGCGCCTTCGGGCCTTCCCTGTCCAGCAGGGTGGTCTCCCTCTCCAGGCCTGAAGGACGGAGCCCATGGCGCCTTGCCCCTCCTCTGCCATCTCCTCTGCCTCCCCACAGCCGACTGTACCTCCACGTGCCTCCCTGATCCCGGCATTCTTCACGGTGCATACCCAGAAGGCGCCAGACGGGCGGACTCAGATAGGCTTCGGGAAGAGTTGGAACTGCCTTCGGTCGGTATCAGGACCAGTTTGCGAGCAGGGGCTTCCCGGCCTCCTCACCCCGATGAGAGGTCCCCGCCCCAAATGGTTCTCTTCTCTCCACTAATGGCAGCTTCCTTGCCACGTGCCGGCCCCCGGGACCCCTCCTGGCTGGATGGGACGTGCCCTGCTTCAGGGATCCCCGAGGAAGCCAATTCAATTTTCACATTCACTCCGGTAATTTCCTTCTGGACACCACCAACGGCTGCGGTTCTCCTGCGGCCCGTGAGGTGCCTGTTCTTGCAGACCGGACCTCCAAGGCGCACCTGCATGGTCACCCACACATGGAAAAATGTTTGTGTGTCTTCGTTTCCCTGGCTGCTTCGTGTGTTCTGCAAGAGGCCCCTCTGCTGGGTGTGTCACAGAAGGACGCCCGTCTGCTGCTCGTGGTTCGTTGCGTTTTAAGATTTAGTGCAGTTCTCTGTGTGGTGTCAAAATAAACTCAAGCGCTGCGTCTGAGAAAACATCTCGAGAAGAGAAGGGGGCTTCATGGCAGTAGGGCGACTCTCTGACCCTGAGCCCTTCGGTGTCTGCCGCTGGGGCAGAGGTTGGCTCTTCTCCCCTAGGGGGTCAGCAGGGCTGGAAGGACCCGGGGGTCGAGGAGGAGCTGGAGGGGCAGGGGTCAGACGGTGTTTTAGCCCAAGGTCGCTGGAAAAGCAGTCGGAGGTTTGCTCCTCAGTCCAGGGCACACGCAGGAAGGACCGTGGTCCAGGAG